AGGAAGTCGGGCCATCTAAACCTAAAGAATCAAGGGCTTAGGTAACAAACGTGAGTATTAAATATATATTTTTAAATGACAGGAGTCAACTACATCTGTGATTTTGGGGGAAGGGGTCTTTCTTGGGAATTTTTGAATACACTGCTTTCACGTATATGCCTAAGTACTAGTCTGACAGCGATGGTTTCCTGAATGAGGGACTGGACACAGCTTCTACAACCTACTCTATGTACTGAGTGGCAATTAGGTTTCATTATGCACTGGGTGACAGTCTACATTTGAAGGTTCAGAGGGGAAATAGTCCATCCATTTCTTACTTTGCAGGCTGCTTGTTAATGCTGATGTTACCTCAAACCTCACTTTTGCAATAAATAAATTGTGATTGTAAAGCTAAATAATGCTTTAAACAATCATATGCATATCTATCACTACAACAACAACACGTGCAAAATTAAGTCCAAGTTTTAAACGTCAGTTATATTAATGCATATAATTTGAACTCACTATCATTAATTTCAGTAATTCTGTAAATCCCTTTGAAAGGATCTGTTGTTTGTTGATTTTGTGCCATGTGAAGACATGATAAATATGACATGTACCCTCATCACACGAATAATGCATTCTGCATCCGAAGCAGGCAAGCTGTGCTTCCAGAGAGATGTTTAATCCATTTCCTGCTTCTAGGGATGAAAGGAATTAAACTCAGTGCACTGATTTTACAGTACCTGCTTTTTTGACTTATAATTATAAAAATGATTATTTTGACAAATTTTCCTGTAAAATAAATCAAGCCTGAGATCCATGCCAACCTCTACAGAGTTACATTATTTGTTTGTACATTCAGTCAGTTTTTGCTAATCAATATTGCACTTTCAGAGCAGTTTCCACGGAAAGATAAAAATAGCCTCTTGGGGTTATGGGCCCTCAAGTCCCATAACAATAAAAACTCCTCTTTTTGATAACTGGCCAAAGGAAAGAGCACTGGAAACCTTTCAAGCAAATTCAGAAATCAGGAGCAGGAACCTCCACCAGCCACACCGAGGTGACATGATCACATGCTGTGCTGGAAGATTTAGATCACACATCCTGCCTTGCACCAGCCTTTTTGCACAGATTGTTTGAACCTGTGCAAAGCTCAGTATAGGATGATGTACCGTTTTAGAAAAAGAAAAGTTCTCTCTTGGCTGTAATGGCCAGAGTGCTCCTTGGGAAAAGGACATCTGCTGCCTGTGTCTCAGAACTGCTAGAGTGCCAAGTGGACTGTCAAAGATCGTCAAAGGCACTGCCACACTTCAAGGTTGAAAAAAACCACAGTGTTTCAGGAATGTCATGTTTTAGCAGGTGTACCATCTGGGGGAAATAGAAATGAACACTTTGCATATAGTGTATGCTCTCCGTCTAAGGATTACTGACTCTTATTCCAGCTGACATCTCTCCATCCGGGTCTACAAGAATTTTTTAGAATCATTGTATCAAATCTTCCACTTCAAAAGCTGAGCGACATATTGTCAGAAGCCAGATCCTGTCCCTGAGCAAAAGCAGAAGCAGCTGTACTACCTCCTGTCCCAAACTAGTTAATACTCCTCCGAGTCCTAAGCTAGCTAACTGTGAGGTGTCTGCATCCACGGCAAGACTAATCCAGAAGGCAGATAAACTGTCCACAGACAAGTAAGAGTAGATAATATTCACAAGGTGCTAGTTTACCCAAGAAATGTGTGGTCAAATTTTATAAGGGCCCAAGTGATATAAAAACTTAGGGGCTATTTGCAGAAAATTCAATCAACTCTTAAAAGTTCAGATTGCTTCTGAAAATGCTTAGATTTATAAACTTACTTCTGTCTCTAAACCTACAACATCCACTGTGCTAGAACGTAAACTTGTCATGGCATGAAGTTATAATTACTGTTTTTTTTAAAAAAAGGACCAGCTCCATCAGAATTACTTTGAAGATGCAAGAATGCATTAACATAAAGGCCTTCACAATACTAAAAGCTGAAGAGCATACATAAGCTTAGATCAGTTTTTCAGAGCACCTGAACCGGCTGAAAACTGAACTGAAAAAGTGCATATCTCACAAAATGCTTATTAGCATTATCTCTCTGAAGAAACCTTGGCTCATATACCAAACACAGGAAAGATTTATCTGTAATACTCCTCAAAGATTCCAGAATATGCAGCAAGTTTTTTTTTAATTCATAATAAATGGCCATAAGACAACTCAGCCCTTGATATTCCTAATCTTACGGAACGATCCAAAGAAAAAATTCACTTTCATCAATCCTTCACTTTAAAGAACACAGCTAAAAATCTTCAGGAGCTCTCATAATGTTATTTGAAGCCATCAGCTTCAGTCTGCATTCAGACTATAGCAAAAATATTTCATAAATACAGTGACCACAGTGAATATCAATTTATAGACGAAATAGAGAAGAAAACAAAGTTCATGGTGAAAAATTCCAAAAGATTAAAAAAAAAAAAGATACTTAATACGTTAAAGGTTAGTGACCCATGAACTAAAGCATTATCTGAAGATGTACCCATACAGAAGTTTCTATACACTTAGAGAAACAGTGAATCTTGATTTTTTTGGCTTGGGAGAAAAAATGGTCGGTATTTGTATAATTCAAGATTCCTTCACAATAATAGATGCCTACTGGATAGAGGCACAAAAACTGTAGTTGCGTCCTTTTGAGACTGTCATGATTTTCATGACTGTACCATCAAAATAACAACCTTTAAATAGCTAGGATACTTTAAACAGACAAAAATGTTCAATTTGAGCAACAGTAAATTGTCCATTCAACTCTCTCTTCCTCTCCTGTATACATACACACAAATCACCTCTAAAATTTGTACTTTGGCCCCTCAGAAACACTATAGTCTTCGGGATAAGATCCAAGGCTGGTAATGGTCGAGGTCTGGATTCCATCCCCAGTATCCACAGTCTCTCAGTGGGATATGTGATTTTGTTCAGAATAAGGCTGTGGGGTGCACAGAACATTAATAATACTCATGGGAAGAAGGGTGACATCACCTTCCACTTTCTGATTTCTATTGCAATGCTTCTTCTCTTTGGGTTAGAGGTTACTGTGGTTGAGGTGAGAATGGCAACAGCAGTTATTCTGCCTGTGTACAACCTAGACCACTTTTTTTTTTTTTTAGTAGATCCCTAAAATTTTATTTGAGGTGAAAACCCCTTTATATTGCTATGCAATATATGTGAACTTAATTTTCATGGGCATGTTTTGAAGACTCCTTTGAAGCAATTAAAAGGCACACAGATTTAAGACTGTTGATCTAGCGGTCCAGCTTTGTGTGACAGAATGACAGAAAACATAGGCATAGCATATATATTGCGGAAAAATCATGTGAAGATGATAATTTTGATAGAATTTTGCTTTGCTCAGTTTCTGAGCCTGTCTGATGAGCACGGGAAAACATCAGCCAACCTCCCTATTACCATTACAACCAGAAAAAACAACATTTCATGGTGCCTGAAAACGTGAACCAAATATCTCAAATGTACTGCAAAACACAGAGGACTGTCCTTTGTAACAAAAGTGCTAGATGACCTAAGTATAGAAGCTCATCACAGCTCTGATAGAACCTCCCTTACAAATTATTTGGTAATAACTATAATTCATTTGCTTTTTATAACTAGTTTGATTTTGATTCCTTGCTGTTCACAAACAAGTTATGTGCTATAAAAAGCAGAGCAACTCTTACCTGGAATGCTCTGTCTCCTCAGGGACAGTGCTCCGTCAGGTGGCCTTGCCTGGTTTGCAGATTTCGTGTAAGGACTCTCATCTAAACAGAAACAAGCAACAGTCTTGGTTACTGTTAAACAATTTTAAAAGCAACCTAATTTTATCTAATTACTGTCTGAACTAGCAAGTCAGAGTACAAAAGCTAGGATGATAGATGGAGGATGGTAGACTAGGATGGACATCTCTTACACTCAGTGACACAGGCTCTTGAATAATAGAACAGAAAAGGAGGAGTATAACTCAAGTTTGCAGATGATGCTTTGTTGATGACAGGCTGCTTACACAAAGGACTTTTTAGTTTTAAAATAACCATGGAAATTTTCCTTCTTCTTATGTTAAGAAGCTTCATCCTCATGTCAAAGACTCCAGTAAGAAAGATACCACTCAGCAGAGGAAAACTTCCAGAAGCTTTTGCATATTCTAGCTGTAAAGATGCACTCCTTTTCACTTGGGATTTGTCAGGAGGTGGTTCCTTTTCTGTCATAAGAACTGATCAGAGAGAACATCAGAAAACCATTGCCTAATTGGCCATGCCCATTTATATTAAATAATGGCACTGTGACAGTCTGCGTTTAGCTAGGACGCTACGTGGATCACCTATTGACCAATCTCAGTGCATCAGAGACCACTCACGGTGGGATGAGCTGATGAGTCACCATTTAAAGGCAGCATTAGGCAGAAGCAAGTCACTTCTCCCCTCTTAGCAGCAGCGTGAACAGTAGGAAAAAATATCAACCACACTACAGCTTTAAAAATGATAGGCTATAGACTTGGGAGAGAAAAGTGAGTAAGAGAGAAAAAATAATACCATGTATTTTATTACTTCAATCAAAAGAAAGTAATCATAAGAAATTAGGCTTCTGCTCTGCTTGGCCTTTAATCAAGTGCTCAAGCACTTTAATGTATCATCAAATCCTTCCAAATCCTTATCAAATGCTTTTCCTTTCGATTGTGAAGGACCACTCAGTTTTCAGTGTATGCACGCAGACATGCTTAAACACAGATCAATGAGTAAAGGAATCAAAGACTGTGTTATCTGGTATAGCATTATGAAATCCAGAAGAATCTCATCAAATCTGGGAGGAATCGTTTTTTCTTTTCAGCTGACCAGCTCTTGACATTATGTGCCCCTTTTGCAGATTACACTGTTTACTTGTGAAGTTTCAGATGCCTTTTGAAACGTGCATCAAGGATCGTTCTCCATTTTTATTCAAGTGAGACAAGGGTTTGGTCAGCATAATTTAAAAGCAGGTTTCAGATGGAAGTGACTAGAAGAGCTGGTCAGCTTTTAAAACCAGAGCTTCTGCAATGAACTCTGCTGTGTTAGCCAGATGGAGTAAAAAAAAGCTTAATGAACACAAAAAAGGGCAAAAGATTGTTGTACAGCTACACACTTCAGAGATAACGCAGCAACTCACGAGGAACACATATTGGTAAAACATTTCAACAGCCAGATATCATTGCTTTTTCTATGGTAAAATGAACTTCCATTGCTTTAGGACTGCATTGTTATGAGGTGAAAGATAGCAGGCTGGACTGGACTGTATGCTACCACAGACTCAAAGAAAAGATGAAAGAATACTGACAGAGATTCCGCAACACAAATTAAGAAAAAGGTATACACCTAAATATCTATTCTTCCACTTGAAAGAAAGTGGAAAAGCAAATATTATTGCAAAAGCACGATATATGTCCCCTCATTAAAGAAAACAAAGAGAGAGTGAACTAGAGCTTCTGAAGGAAGCTGGATTGATTTTTCTTGCACAGAAGAGGCACAGCTCAGCTAGAACTAAAGACAAGGATCTCCAAACAGCCTTGCTAACTCGTAGCGATATCAACAAATAGGATTCATCAATAACAGGCAGCCTAGATGTCCCATTCACTACTACTTATTTGCAGGGGCCAAATGTGACAGCAGATATTGTGAGACACGCATTTTTCTATTAAAAAGTGGGCAGGAAATGTAAAATAATTTCTCAGGAACTAATGGATGGTGACGACTTTTGGTTACGGCCAATTTGGGCCATATCTGAATGTGTGCCCTACTGATGAAAAATGCATCACTTCATGGAACAAAGCAGTTCTCTCCCAGCCAGACTTATGATAGATCAATTATTTTCATCAGATTGGAGAGAGGGCAAAAAAGGAAAGGAGGATTTTCACAACCACATCTTTTTCACTGAATCCTTGTCACTAAGCAAAGGAGTAAATCAGTTAGTCTTTTGCTAGAATAGGCTTTTCCCAATATTGCACTATAGTCTGTGGTACGGTATCTGGAGTTCAGAATAAAGGGTAATCCTGCAAACCTTACTGGTTACTGGTAGCAACAACGGAAGGTGACCGCACATTCAAATTACTTAACAGGGAGTCTGAGCAGAAATCTAATATTTTGTACTCAACAACTGGCAGATATGAAAGGTAACTGAGAGCGTACATGTGGGTAAGCTAGTATTTTATTTGAAGTATATTAGGATTTAAAACTTTTCAGATATTTATGAGGTTTATGTTGTTTAGGTAATGTAGTCATGTAATCTGTATAGAGATTTTCTTAATCTGTCTAGGGATTTTCACAGCAAATAAAGAGGACCAGAAAGTTGCTTCATAACTTTTGAACCTCTGTTAATGCAAGATATGTCCAATTATTATGGGGAAATAACAGTAAGTCATTGTATCATGGGGTGGACTGAGAAGCTTCACTTTGCTGGGAGTTCACAGGACAAGAAAGAATTGTCTTTTTAATGCCCATTTAACTGCAGTAAATTCACATTCCAAGATAACTAGAAATCAGTGCAAAGGATTCCGAGAAACAAAGGAATGCGAATATAACTAACGAGGGAAAGACTGCTAATGTCACCCTTATTTGAAACAAAAAAATAATATAAAGAGCAGAGAGATGCACAAAGACATGCCATCCTAAACCTCAGCGTAAACTAGAGAGACAAGAAACCCCTGACAGCACTGAAATGCAACACACCATTCATGCTCTCAAAAAGGGAAAAAATTCTACTTGTCTGTATTAGGAAAGTTGTGTGTGTGGCCACAAGAATTTAATAATCAAATAACTCTTTACTGATTTCCCCATCATCCTCTTTCTATATTTGGCAGAGAGGGTCTTCATGCATGCAAAAATGTGTCATGATAGCAATAACCTTCAGAGACTTGAGTGAGTGCTTCTTACTGTCAGTTTCCCCCACTACAAAGCCAATAGATTCCCTAGTAACGAGACTTGTTCCAGCCAGCCAACACCCTGAAAACGTTAAGGAGTAAAAGGGTACAAAGCATTCCTCCAAAGTGAGACAATAATTCAAAATTAGTTGAAGATGCGATGTATTTTAGAAGCCACACAATATAGCAGTGGGAGATATAGGCTAGATTCAGAAGCATGATTTCATCTAGCTACACCCCTAATGCTAATATAATCTGATCATTAACAGGGAGAGAGTCATAGCCCATAAGGGATTTGCAGGCTAAAGGTCTTTGTCACTGAGACAAAACACATTCACCTGGAACACGTACACATGGAGCTGCAGAATGTGCCACTTAATGCACCAATTTTTTTTCTACTTCTGGAGGAATCACACTGCAGCAGTCCATGTTTACTACAGTGGAAATAGCGTAGCTATACAGATACAGTTGTTGAACTGCATTAATTACATCACCGATTTTTTTTTTCTAATCTCCTCTGCCTAAGAGATGAGACAGCCCAGGGTAAACAGTTTCTAGCAAGTCATTAGGTCACATAAAGGTGACTGCAGCAACAGCAGATCTCTTAGCTCGGTGACTACAGAAACAAACCCTCTTGCACTATTAATACGAAGGGTTCATTTCCCCAGGTATGAAAATTCACAGTTTGCATATATTCTGCAGCTGCAAATGGACAATACTGAATGAGTTGCCTGACGTGTTAATCCACATCTTCCCTGGCAGAAAGAAGCAATTATCTCCAAGGTAAAGTCACGCAGATGACTGAGGTTCTTAACCAGAGAGGCAAAATGATCTTCCTGTTTTCTTGCTTTCCTCCTCTTCACTAAACCGACAGCCCCAAATAATGATAACTGTGCCCAGCACATCATCCTTTCACAGCTCTGCAAACAGTTCTCCTAATTAAAGACTGTAAAGATAATGATCAAGTGGATAGGCAAGTGGACCTGTTGCTTACAGCTATTACTGTAGGCTTATTGCCTTTAGCTATCGTCCGTGAGGCAGATAAACCTTTTTCTTTTGTGCTTTCCTATCTACTTCTAACCAGCTGGGATCTCTATGCTGTAACTGAATGATTCATTCTTTGAGTTGGGGACCATCCTGTGACACATTTATGTGGCTGTATGTTGCTCCTAATATAAAGGACAGCCTCAGTCCAAGGAAAAGGGCGCTGTACGCTGTAACAAAAAATAATAATCTAATCCTATAATGATTATACACTGGACAATGCATATATATATAAGTGCTTGGTACTGTGCTAGCAAAACAACCACATGAAATCTTTAGATATTCGCTATTTTCAATTTCATATCCTTTAAAGGATACCAACGGGGGACATACAAGACTGAATAAAAGGAAAGCCTACAGATACTTCCTCTACAGTCAAGTCCAGGTATTCAAAGTATCAAGTGGTTTATGACCACTGAACCATTTGTGTGTCTCTCGAGATAGCTGTGAAAGCTATTGACACAGGAATGTTGTTTACAGATGCAGTAAGGTGCAAGAGCGCTCCCACTCTGGAAGTCTTCACAACTGCTTAGAGAATGGTCCCTTTAACGCTACTGAAGCACGTCCAGGCAACAGCTACTGGACCCAGCAAACGCGTGCAGCATCATGGGGCCCTAGAATGCAACTATGCACAACTGCACCCTAGCCGATACGAAGGGGAAGCCTCTTCCTGCGCCACTGGGAACAGCTACCGAGCAACGCAGCAGCTACCTCTGCAGCCCTCCTACATGGAGAGGCAAGGTGAAGATCCTTCACCATCATATCCTGCCTCTCCCACACAACGATTCCTCCTCAATTCTGCTTCACCGCTCGCACCTGCTTCTCTGCTGC